CGCGGCCGCTTTTGCTATCGGGGTTTGTTACAGGGGTTGATGTTTATATTTGCCTGGTGTCCTTATGCCACCTGTTTTTTATGCGAGTGATTATGTTTATATTTGAACTTTCTAGTAACTTTTTATCTGTGTATTTTTTATGCCATCTAGTCGAGTTGTAAAATTTACTTTGTTCTTCTAAACTCCCCCTCTGCGCCAGTATGTGTGTATGTGGCCCTTTTTTTTTGTTTTCTCTCCGTTGTGCGGGCGATAGTTTTTATGGACGAATTTCTGGTGTTACTGCGGACGGCAGGTGTTTTTATAATTCTAGGGATAGAGTTGTCTCTTATTTACAGACTTTCTTTTTTTCTTATCGTTTTTTTTTTTGCTAGTACATGGTCGACGTATGAATGAAATGCGATTCAAAGGCATTGTCCACAACGAAGGAATAATAAAACGCAAACAGCTTCTATTTTATACTCAGCATCCATAATTGTACACGTGTTGTCCACTTTCTCAATCAAATTACCAGCTAGTGTTTTATATTATCGTGAAAATAGTAAAACAATGTAGCAACCATTTTCCCCTAGTTTCACCGATAAGTATAATAAAAGTATTTGATTTTTTATAAAATAATCAAGTTTTTTACAGATATAATGGGACTACATGTATATAAAAGTGGCTAAATTTACTAATCCAATGCTTTCCTCTTATGCCTTTTTGTGAATATCATTACTCTTTCATTTTTACAATCAGGTCTCTTTTTGGAAATGCAAGATAGGGAAAAGAAATTTATATCTTCGAATGAAAGGGGTACAACCCGGTTTCCAAACTCTATCCAGTCTCATACTTTTTCTATCCATGCACCACCCTTCGATCCCACGGCCTCTTTAGGGCTAGAAATGCCCTCTGAAGTGCATGGAAACACAAACTGGGGTTATCAAGCCCCTTACATGATGGGATATCACTCTCTTAAGACAACGGCACCGTACACCGGTACTATGGGTCACTTTCGAACTCCCACTATTCCCAGTACACGGTTTGATCCAAGGAAAGAGAATACTGAAAAAGAAGGATTATCAGTTTATGCTAAGCCTTGGCGACCTTTCTCCGAAGGTGTCGTTGATGCCATTACAGTAGACGATAAGGTTATCGATTTTGCTCCGCCATCATTTTTAAAGGTACAACTAGGTGGAGCAGAGGTTTCTGCTCCGGCCCCCATTATTTCAAAAGAAGTAGCTGACAACATTTTTGTTCACGTAACAACAGTAATACCCAGAGCCAATTTATCAACCGAGTTCAAGCTTTTATATTATCTATGTGGCCGCTGCCCTTTAAGGTCTTTGTTTGGAAGGCTTTCCTCTCGGAAAGCTGATGTGAGTCTGCGCAACATTGCACCAGATATTCCTCCACTGTGCATTGCGCATTTAATGGAGCAGCTTATAAAAATCAAGGTAGCTGCCATCTATTACAACGAAGCAGATAGTTCGCAGTATGATGTATGGTTCGATAAACCGAACGTTTCTTCTCATGTTGTTGAAGTGATTAATGAGCGCCTTTGGACAAGTCCTATGTTTCATGGGTTTGCGGTTCTTCTTAAAGGTGAGGAATCAAAAACTTTTCTGAAGAATTATCTGGATGAATTAAAAAAATCTGAACAAAGTAAAAAATGCCCATATCCGCTCTCATTTGTTGAAGTAAAGGAGCACTAGCTATTTTTTCATGCTCATTGTCGAATAAGTAATCCACTGTTTTTTTTTGGGAGTATTGTGCTTTAGTTATCTTTTATTGAAAGTTGTTTTTCTTCTACGAAAAACTTTTAATTTTTTTTCCAATTATACCTATTGATCCAAAGACAAAATTGGCTTCATTTTCCTATTTTTTGAAATTCTTTTGCTCAACCTAGTCTTAGTGAATATTATATGACTCCGTCATTTTCATTTTAAATAGTCGCCTTTTGTCTTATAAACACTCACCTACATACACACATACATACACGCCTAAATGCATATACATGACGAAGTTTATTTTATCCTTACATGAATTATTATCAAAATTAGGAGTTGAGTGAATTACTTCTGCACTCTTCAAATGCGTACTTCTTAGCTTTTTTCCATATGCTACCTTTGCCTGAATCCAGTTATCGAGGCTCATCGATGCAGAGCCATCTAGAGGGGATCGTTTCTCGTGGAGGAACTTCATGTTCTCCTTTTCCAAATTTGTATCAACTCCTTTTATTACACAGTGGGATTTTGATTATTTTTTTGATGAGATTTTGATCACTAAGAAACATAAAAAATTGTTGATTAGCGTTTTATGTTAGTCATTAAAAATAAAAATTTGAATTTTTCTTTAATTGCTTTCCTTTCATGGGGAAAAGTTTTAATATTTTGCTTATACTTATTAATAGTATTTAACATCTTGGCTAGCTTGTCAATTATATCCATCTTTTTAAGGCACGACCTAGAACTTGTCTTTTTTGTCGTTTTGCACACCCTAATTCTGGTGGTTCTAGCATACCAATAAAGTTATCAACATCACCGGCCACGATAACATTGCTTAGGGATTAAAAATTGTGTTTCAGTCGTTGCAAGGTATGCTAAATTTTATTTTCTAAAGCTGAATCAGCCCAAGTAACAGTATTTTTCTCCTAACCGCTGCTACAGAGAAGGTTTATGCTCCTTTCTTATTTAAGAAATTTGGGAGCAGTAATTATAGCAAAAAGTGAAATGTGTACCTTTAAGAATTAGCTTTATAACTGATTCACGAGAAAGAAGCGCGTTTCTTTGACAACAGAACAGTTTTTTTTTACTTCGGTTGCCTAAATCTGAGGGGTAAGTTTCTTTCAAAGTAGATTTAGCAGAGGAGTTAATAGAAAGAAAATGATGATACTTGCTTGCACTTACATATTTATCCCATTATTATGGGCAAAGAGTTGCAGATTCTCTTTCATCTTGTTGATAGAATAGAAAAAGTGAAATTACTAGCAGTTCCGGATAGTATTTATATCAAGCAAATTGACGGCAGAATATGCAAATTTAGCAATTTCTTTTTTTTTGTTGTTCTGCTTTTACGCACTAATATGCCATTTTCATCGACTACTGTATTCAATGAAACCATTTTTTTTTTTTTTGAAAGCTTTTGATACGATACTTTTGTCATAGCTTAGACTACTACTAGCGAATGTGTCATTTTTTTCAACTCATTGGTATTAATTTTGACCGTTCCCACTGATTAAGCTACAATCCTCAATATCGATAACTACTTTACATGAGAGGTTATTTGACTTAGAGTTTCGTTCTTAGAATACTCCTCTGAGCGTTTATGGCCTTCTACTTTTGGTGGTATGTTACTCATTGAGGAATACTCCACACAATTTAACAAGAAGAATAAAAGTTTAGAATTATGATGACTAGAAACGAATACGTCTCATTTTGTGTCCAAAGGCAGCTCACAAGCAAGTCTTTCGTAAAGATAGCGTTGACTAAGGAGTTTCATTTACCTAGTAAAAACAGGATAGTTTCTCCAATGAATGGTGAAGCTTCGTTGTGAAATTTCCTTCTTGAATATCGTGAGTGATGCTCGGTAATGCGCCTTGCGTTGAAGCATTTGTAGTATTTACTTAAGTCAGTCTCAATGAACATATTAAACTGCCGATGGGTGTGTGTGGTCATGCCGACTCCATATAATTCTTTTGTTAAAGGTCAGGATCACTTAGACCGAGACTGATAAAAAGCTACTAGAATAATTTAACAAGTCATCAGTATTTTTTTTGTTAACAATGTGATCTATGCTCAACTCCACACTGGCAAGTAATGAAGCAACCGAAAGCATTGCTCAGCTACTTGATTCAGAACATTGCGCAATTGGTGTTAAACAAATGCGTCATCCTATAGTCGTGTGCTTAATGTTTTTTAAATATATCATTTTCTTCAATATTTTCCGTAATGTTAATGTCTATGTGTGGTTTGTTCTCATGTCTAGCACCCCTTGCGTTCCTTTCATTCGTATGGGGCATAGTATTGGAGCATCTAAATCAAGGCGAACCGTCGTCTTGTGTAACTCATTTAATGCCTAATACTTTTCATTCTTACGCATCTATGTTTTTACAGAAACATTGTGTCTCGCATGGTTCGCGTACTGCAAAGGTAGTTGTCTTTGATTTATTAGTTCTAGTCAACATTTCATGATAAACTGAGCATACAAGTTGTCTTTTTAGGCATTTCCCTCAGCCCTACTTTCTTCTATTTCTGCTATACATCTTATTCTATATGGATTTAGATCTACCTTTATCATTAGAAGGTTAGTTTCGCTGGTTTCCTATTTCTTGAGACACTTGAAGGAGATATGTACGATGATGGAGAACTCAGAACGGCTCTAGACTATCTTTGTTCTACTTGGGTGAAGATATAGAGCCATCTTTTCTTGCTGGAAAGCCTTTTGTGCTTTTTTGTTTAGTTACGCTCACTTCATCACCCTGCAACACGGTGAGGAGGATAAGCTTTCACAGAATGAGATCATCTACACTCTCACTCTGTAAGTGCAGCTCCTGAGAGGTATCGAGCATATAAGCAAGTTAATGATCTGAGTGAAAATCATGTTTAATTAATAAATATTTTTCATGATGCTTCGAACCGGGTATTTTTTTCATATTACTGTCAAAATAAAATATGTCCGAGAAACTGTTCTTTTCTTCGACTTTTTTTGGGGGGGAGTGAAGCATGTTTTGATGCGTAAGACTTCAGATTTTGAAGATGCGCATAAGGGTAGTGGGGATAGTCAAGACAAAGAGCAAGAGTTTGTCTCTCTCTTTCCATTCGCCCCGCCAAAGATGCAACGACAGGAAAATAGTCTCAGGCACACAGAAGCACGTTTATTTCGCAACAAAAAAAGTGAAGGTGTCCTTGACGAAACGAAAAGCGCCCCTTTTATTTGGAAAGACGTTCATAATCCTTTTGTTAGCGACTTCAACTCCATGAAAAAAACAGCATTGGTATACCAGAATGGCAAAAATATAGATAGTAAACGAAATCCGAATCGTTCTGACTATTCGAAGGACAATGGGTTTCCCTTTAGATCAAATAATGACAATGCATCAGAACCTAACGATAAGGTTAAACCTTTTGTTAGGTCTTCGCTCTGTGAGAAAAATCCAAGTTCATTACCTTTAAACGATAAGATTAACCGCTGTGATACATCTGACTCTGGAGGTCTAAGTGCCCGGAATAAAAATACCATCTCTCAGCGCGAGTGGGGTCGAAGACGCTTTCTATGTTCGTTCTCCGCTGTGGAGGTGGGCGGTGGCCTTTCGTCTTCTCAGCGTGAACGCTTTCAGAAATGTATGGAATCAGGCCCACCGAGCCATAACCAAGTGAAGATGAAGATTGTTGAGCTTTTGCAGTATTGGATGAGTTCTCCCAGTGTGTCTTTACAAATTCGTTCAATTGTACAAGATACTCTTCTTCAAGCAGGAATCCATGCGACTCCAGTGAGAGAAGCATGGTCTGATGCATCTAGACCAGGTTGTTGCAAATTTCAAGACACTTCTAATGGGGGAGTGCATACGAGTAGTAGTAATTCTGTGAATAATCTGAATACTCACATCGGCTCACATGACGTCGCCTCAGATACGCATGTACTGCAACCTAGCCTTTTGGAAGCTCAGAAAGGCTCTAATTTCAATGCGGCAATCGGTTCAGACCATTCGTTTCATCACTCGTCCACTCTACCTCCATCAACATCCGCCGGGACGGCTATAGTGTCGCTACGTGGTATAAGTAACAAGCTCGAAAATACTAGTATTCAAAAAAATGAATGTTCAAATAATTCATCACCAACAATTGTACAAATGACACCAGAAAAAACGAATCCTGCATCGAGCTTACATTGTTATTTACCCTCAACACGTCGATTTTCCTTTGATCCAAATGAGCCGAAGCATAATGAATTGTCAGTACCGCAAAGCCAAGCGGTTGAGGTACCTGATACGCCGGAAAAGCAGGCTGATAAAAACAAAATCGGATTCAGAGCAAAGTACAATGGTTGGAGTTCTTTTTCGAGGAAAGCGGACGAAAATGTAGTCACTACTACTGGAGTTGAGAGTTCAAATCCAGGACCACCCGGTGCAAGTTACAAGGATATTCCTCAATTTTATTTTCCGTTAGGATGTCCAACTACTCAGGAGAGTGTTATCTCTGGAGCTGTTAGTTCAAAAATTCAGAATCCACATTTAAAAATGTTAGATTGTGTTCCTTTAGCAAGCGCGATGTACGACACCACTGAGCCTGCCTGTGATTCACTGGCATCCTCTACGAATGGAGAAAAAGTCCCTATTCACCGTGATTTCACAATGCCCTCTATGTCAACTCTTCGATGCATGGAGGATAGACGCGTCAGTCAATATCTCCATAAAGAATTTTCCCGAGTCCCTCCCCCTCACAAGCTTAAATGCAAAACTCATTTGCCTGAAAATCAGCTTGATGGGTTTCGAAGAACTCCACAACTCACTAAACGAGAGTCAAACTACAAACATTGCCTTATTGAATGCATTGAGCGCATTTGTGTTGAATGTTTTGGGGTGCCACGCTACTTTGCCTTCATCATTTTATACCTTATTCAGAACAATTTTGCTGTTAACTCTTCAGATGCACCGAGCCCTTGCGCTGGGGGCAGGCCTGGACTGTCCTCTTCCACAAACGGACTAGTTTCATCACCTCGTACCAAAAACATTACTGCATCGCATTTGCTGGAATTTTATCATGACCACCTAAAAGGAAAGGATAGTATCCGACGAACATTTGACCTGCTTATTCTTTCAAGTCTCAAGAACAGTGTCACCGCTGCTGATAATCGGAAATCTCGACATCATGAACCTCTTGCGCAGCGCACTACCGCGCCACGATCGTTTCTTCTACCAGAAGATTTTGTAGGGTACATAAATGTACTACTACAACACCACCCAGGTCTTTCGTTTCTTAAGAAAACCCCTGAATTTCGGCCCAAATATATGAATACTGTGATTTACAGAATATTCTATGAAATAGACCGATACGACAGGGGGAATATCAGTTATGCAGATTTCGCATCGTCGCGTTTGATGGATGCCTTTCGACAGGTGGATGCCACTCCAGACATTAATTCGGTCTTACTTTTTTTCTCTTATGAGCACTTCTACGTCCTTTACTGCCGGTTTTGGGAGCTAGATGAGGATTGTGATATGATAATATCACAAAGGGATTTTTCGAGATATTACCCTGATAACACTTTCAACCCGCTCATTATTCAACGTATTTTTAGTGGTGTCGGTCGCCGTATTCGATGTGAAGTGGAGGGATACATTGGGTATGAAGATTTTGTGTGGTTTTGTCTCTCAGAGGAAGATAAGTCTACCCCGCAAGCTATACGATATTGGTTTCGAATTCTAGACCTAGATGGGGATGGCATTCTGTCTATTTATGAGATGCAGACTTTTTATAATATGCTGATGGAGAAGATATCCTTTGTAGGTGAGAATGCCGTTTGCTTTGAGGATGTGATTCGTCAAGTATTCGATATGATACGTTGCCCGGAGTATCGTGGCTTAACCTTGGCAGACTTGTTGAACGATCCTGAGGCGGCACACGTATTGCTGAACATGTTCACTGACTTTGTTAAACTATTGCAATATGAACAGAGTGATCCGCTTGTGGTACATCAGGAACGCCTAGTCGGGGGACCTGAGCAGAGCCATTGGGACCGCTTTGCTCGCGCAGAATATGATCGTATGGCGCAGGAAACTGACCTGTAAGATGTAAGCAAGCCCAAAGTCCGAGGGAAATTTGGAAGACATTCTTTTTACAACCTTCTGTCTTTCCTTTTAAAATATATTTCTTCTGTTGATTTAACTTCAACGTTCTACTTCGCTGTTTGCTGATACTTATTTTATCAAATATTTTTTATCATATATAGTATTTCTTTTCCCTCCTGTACACATGCTGAGCGTTAAGAAGCTGAATTGCAGTTCCCAACAAGTTGCGTCCCTCCCTCTAAAAAACTTCTTTTAATGATTTTTGATCAATATTGCATAACTTTTGTGATTGAAAAGATGGAAATAGAGGTGAAACAAAATGCTAACTAGTACTTATCAAGCCATTAATGTGTGGCTTGAGATGACATTCTCAAGTATATCATTTTCACTTGAGTAGTTCTCGATATAGAATAGAAGTGTTCGTAGTTCATTTAATTTTTATTAATATTACAATCTCACCACCCTTCCCTTACTCCCTTTCTCGCTTTTTGTGATGCTACAGCACATACATTCACAATAGTACCCAATCGTATGCGACGCGCCGCATGGCTTCGCTCTCTCGCTGCAACGTTGTCTAACGAAGTTCACGGGCTGGGCACACGCAGCGATGGTCAAGAGCTTCCTAACAAAGCACTGAAAGATGATAGCAATTCAGCTGTGTCTACTGATCCCAAATCGTTTCCAGAGGCCGATCGTCGCATTGAAATTCGTTCATTCAACGTCCTTAAACTTTTTGATTGGCAGACACACTGTACTCAGGGGGATAGGGCACTCCTGCCGCCTGCTCTTTTGTACCACGGGGGTGCCCTTGGCCCTCGTCCGTTGCTGATTCTTGATCATAGTCTTCCTTTTTCCAATATGGATGGTAGCGATGTCCATACGGATGGTCTTTCTAATACGCAGCTCGATGCCATACAGAGCGCTGCGGCCAAATACACGTCGATGATCTCTCAACTTGTGTGGGAGTACGGGGCTGTATACATCCCCCTGGTCGTGAATCCAGATGGGGGGGACGTAATAGGGCGTAGTTGTCGACAGGTGTGTGCGGTGATGGATGCCTTGGATATTCGCTGGTCGCATTTTCTCACCTATTCTTATGGGACGCTCGTGGCAGGGCGCTTAGCTGCCTCCCAGGAGTACCCGCACCGCATTGGTAGCTTCCTTTCTCTCGACACACCGCTCGTAACGGACTCGATGGTTCGGAATGCGAAACGTCGTGATGAAATCGCTAAAGCCGAGAAAGATGTGAATGTGCCTGCAGACATGTTGTCGTTCGCCCGTGACGAGCTGCTGGGTGCATTGGAGGAGGTTCTTTCCTGCCCAGCCCCGAAAGCCGATGGAGAGCTCTATAAAAGGTACCTATTCAACCCCAAACAGATCTATGAGAAAGGCGGGCTTATACGTAAGGAGGAGCGATATGTCTCTCTTCGACACCTTGCGGGGATTCATCACCCATGGCAGCTTATGGTTCCTGCAGGCCAGCCGTTGTCTGATGTACCAGTTCACAAGGAATTTTTCAGACTCCGACGACCTGCTGTTATCAAGTCGGCTGCATCCCACAAGGAACTGTTTTCGGATTGTGCTGCAACTGAGATAGCAGAGGTGCTCACTAGTTGGATGAATCGTTTCGAACCTGATATGATGATTCGACGCCGATATGAGCAAGCTGCAAGGGAAATGTCTGCGCTTGTTGCTGACGCGACGGCGGCCACACCGAAAGTCAGCACCAGTGCAGGCACCGGCAGTGGAGGAAAACGGAAGAAGGAGAAAAAGCAAAAGGCTGGATGATAATTTTATACGTTCTTTTGTAAACCTTTACAAAGGGAAATTTTTGTTGTGAATTAGCTTGCGTTTTTTCACACGATGTAGGTTATCTGCATTAGAGCTTCCGTTTGGCATGCGTTTTATCATAAGGGAAAGCCAAAAATGGCACACTAAGAACCAAGAGTTAGAGTACTTGAGCACCACCTTCATATCTTTCATGAAATGATAATCTTTGAATAGATCTTTGCCAATGGTCATGCTTTATGCGGTGTGTTTCTTTTCTTTGCGTCAGTAGTTCTCTCTGGAAGGTTTATATTAGACCTTTTGGGGGTGGCATATTTAGGGGAAAGAATTTTACTTGGTAAGCTGTAACTCATTGATCTCGATCAAATTCTGATGCCTTTTCTGGAGAATATTCCAGAAAGTGAAAAATGATAGTATCGAGAAGAAAGAGATAAAATGCTAGTCATTTATGTGACTTCGCTTTTCCACAATCTACTATATTGTGTACATCTTCTACGTGAAGTGTTATCTGCATTGGGGGCATCGTAGCTTTTTAAATCTTTGAGAACCACAAGCCATTCTTTCCAAAATGACTGAGTTGTGGTTTTATTGATAAAGGTTTTTTGCACGCTAGCATTTAAAGTTTTATTTCTTCCCCTTTGCACTCAACAAAGTGTAGGGAAGTCTCAGCAAAGAACACAATTATATAGCGAGTAACAAGATCCTGAAGGTAATGTTGAGGACGAACTTTTATTATTTCACAATGAAGTCTTACGCTTATGACTCCCTCTTTTTTTGTTTTCATGTTGTTATTATAATTTGATATTATCCATTATGATGGTTTGTTCAAATATATTTATGGCAGCATGTTCTCGTGTTTAGTGTACACCACAACCCATTTTCAGCCTTTTTGTTAACAGAAAAGGAGCACTGTATCTTTAGGAGGCAGGATCTTTTGCGGTCGAGGAATATCTGCCATATCGTAACTTTTTGCATGCATTGATGTTGACAGAATATTAATACGCATGACTAGATAAATGTTGTACAGAAGTTTAATTGCGGATGCGAATATGCTTGTATGACTGATGCTTTGTTACGTTTCAGTTAGATGTGAGCTACATTTGTATATTATTAATTAAGCCCAGTATTCTGTATTTTCAGCATATCGTCCAAATAGTAATCTTCAGTGCCTTCCTCAGGTTGTCCCTCCTTTTTCCCCCTCATAAAAAGTGGTGGTAGTGGTTGGATCTAATTGAACTGCTTTGCTATTATTTATCGTTATAACTTACATTGATTGCTAACTATTTGATCGTTGCACTTCCTTCCCTAGAATATATTATCCATTGTTATTAAGTTTAAAACCAAATTATATCATGTCTGCTGCCAACTTTGAAGCCGCTTCAGCGTATGTTCGTTCTCTGCCGAAAGATGGACCCATTCAGCTAGACAACGATACCAAACTGAAGTTCTACGCGTTATACAAGCAAGCCACCGAGGGTGATGTGAAGGGTTCGCAGCCGTGGGCGGTTCAGATGGAGGCTCGCGCTAAATGGGATGCCTGGAATGCGATTAAAGGCATGAGCTCGGAGGAGGCCAAGGCGGCCTACGTTTCCCTTCTTATTGAGGTCACAAAGTCAAAGGGGCACCCGTGGACCCCGTAAAAAGAGAAGTACCTAGTGCATGTGCTGCCAGAGTATTAAATTAAGCAATCAAGGTGTTTGTTTCAGTGGCTTTTTTATTTATGGGAAAAATTTGTGAAATATTGTCTTTGCATTGACTAAAATTTGGGCAAATTACAGCACGTGTGTATGCATTTTAAGTTTAACGATCTATATCTACATGATTTTCTTTTTATGTAGATCCTTCTTTTTTACTACTGATAATTTTTTTGTTATTTTTTTTTTTGGAAGAAGATGATAACATGCTCAATACTGTTTTTTCATTATGTAGTTCGAATATTATTATTCTTCATTGTATATGGATATTATTTTTCTAATTTTTTTTCCCTTTTATAGCTCTAGTTAATGACTATATAAACTTGATAGGTAGACCCAATGATTGTTCTCTTTTTAACTATATTTTTGCGCAGCAGTACTCACTGGAAAAGCTGGAGAAGCAAGCCGTTCTCCTCACAAGATCTTGAAGCCAAACAATTGATATCAATACCACTAAATAAAGAAGGGTTTCCATATTTGTACTTATATTGAAGCACTTTATCAGTTGATCAACGTTCCTGATAGTGCTTGGAGAGGGAATCACAGGGCTCTCTTCGAAACTGACGACTTATCTACTCGGAGACTTGAATGAGCCTCTAAAGGGGCACTACGACTGTGCTGCGAACTTTGCAAATAAGTTGCCTGGATCCAGAGAAGTTTCTTTGGTCTTGATACCAAACTTCCCTGAGGTCGGATGCTTTAGATTATAATTCCTATCATCATTATTTTCTGTTTTTATAACAATCACGATAGCAAATGAACAAACGAGCGACGTGGATCAGCCACATGGCTGGATTGGGAGATAACCTTTCCTGCCTTTGGTGACGATTGCAACCATCCTCGGCGGGTTTATTAATCATCAAAAGGAACAGAGGTTCAACAAATTGATCACGAACACACCGCCAGTGCTCCTGCCCACGGTACGGGGCGAGGGTACGCGGTGAAAATGAGCGACGAGTTTCTTCTGAGTGGGGGGGTATTGCATATTGTGTCTACTGGCGGCTTATCAGGCTGAATTTTCCTTGAAAGTATTTCACTCAGAATGGATTCGTTTTCGGCCACGAGTGATGCCGAGCATAATGCCAATAACTTACAAGAGTAAGGAGGCCGTAGAGAGATGAAAAAAAATCAGCATGGGGTGCATGTTCTATCTTCAGTACTCATATGAATATATTGGAAAAGAGGACATACCAAGTTGAATAATCTTTTATGCATAACGACAAGCATAATTCCGTTTTGTTGTTGTTTCCGAATAGCAGATACACTATGGGATACTATTTTTTAACACACACACATATCTATATACGGATGTGGAACTACATATACAATGCTCATTGGGAGAAGTATTAGATAGAAGGTCTACATAAGTAGCCATTTATTCGAAGCATCATGCTTCCTCTGGGCTCTCCCCTTAATTTATTCTTGTTATACTTTAGTTCCCTAAATCATGCGTTTAATATTGACTCTATTTTTTACTATAAGTAGGTTGATTCCGTTGTAAGGCTACATCCAGTCTCAACTATGATGTCCATGCTGAGATGTGGGAAGCTGGTACCATTACTCTTAATATCCCTTTTTTCCCTTCTTCCTGATAAATACAGTGCAGTATCTCTAACTGGAATATTTGTGAAAAAGTGTGCCTTGTGCTCGCAGCCTAGATTTACAAATTACCCCCTTATAGATAGTGTGAGCAAGCAACTAACAACAAACGCATTAGAAAATATTTTTCTGTGGAAAAATATTCATTTTCACTTCCTTGTTTTATTAAAATACTGGTAAAGGGAGTTACTATGCGCAACGCTCATGAGGACGTATCACTTTCTGAACCAGGTGCCGAACCTCTTTCGCCGAGCCTCCCTCCGCTGCTAGGATTACCCAATTTGGATAGTGGTGGTTGGGCCGTGAGCCCTCCTCGGCGCGGTCTGGTGGTTCTCAATCTTTCGGCTAGTCAATCGACGAATGCGGCCAAGCATTCGCGTTGCAGTCGACTCCAGCTTATTTCGAATTCAACAGTTCCAACAAATTCTACGACATTCGGACGGTCTCAAACTTTGGTATCATCGTCAGAGCTACCTGTTGCAGGTATCGCAATGACTAACACTGGTACTTCTCCTTCTCTTTCATTATCAAACTCAGAACACTCTTTAGCTGTCTATACACCATACATCATTCTGCAGGAATGCGGTAAGGAGTGTGCAGCAACGACAAAAAAAGATGTTAGTCGTTCCCATTTGAGGAAATCTCCTCCTATTACTAGAGCAAAGAGCACTGGCTTTGTCAATGTAAATGATTCCCACTCTGTAACACAATCGTTGGCTGTCCAAATTTGTAAAGAACTCCGAGGTGAGGCTCCTCGGTATTTGAATATTTCAGCTTCTGGAATCTCAACAGCAGAAGGAAGAGGGGGGGAGGTTATTACGATAAATGTAGGTATTTCAAAGACGAACAAGACCCATTTCTTACTCGGATCCACTTTTCCTTTCTTTTGGCAGGAAGATGTCAGTGAGGGGTGCCAAGAGCGGACGCCCAATGAAAGCCTCTTAGCTTCGGTGATGGAGATGCTTTTTTTAGTAGATTCTCAGCAATTAGATGACTCATCCACGCAGCACAAGTGCCGTGTTGAGGTTGCAGTAAGTGCCATTGAGTTGAGTGATGCCGCACCATTCTCCCCTGTTTCCGCCGAATACCATCCAACTGAGGCGGTCGACTTGTTCTCTGGGAGAAGAGATATGTACGTACCAGGGTTGAATTCAGTTTTGGGGGTAGATCAATCTGCCAGGGCGAGTGGAGGGGGGAATGGCGAGAATTCTCGTAGAATTGGAAGCTCACCGACTGGATGCTTCATGGAGAACTGGACTGATATACCCGCCGCTCAGTATGTCAGTTGCACCTCCGCAGCGGAGGTACAACGCGTTGTAGGAATAGCTCTCTCACGCAGCCTTAGCTGGCGCCCTGTTCAAGCCAATGGAAACAGACGGGAAACACCCATGGAGGTTGAGGAGGAGTGTGAAGGAAATGAGAAGAGCGGATCAGATGGATACAACGGTGCCTGGCTTCTAAGGCCTGAGTCTCGCAAAGAGCATGGTCACCTTCTGTTCACCTTTCTAGTGCGGCAAAAGGCGGACGTGTGCGATGATGAGAGGCGCGCAGGTGCTTCTCAGCACAAATTTTCGAAGAGGCGTTCAATGGTTGGTGTGTGGCGATTATGGGACTTGTCTGGCCCGCTTCCCGATAACGCTGGGTTTGTGACTTCATCCTCATCTCCGTCTTCATGTTCCGATGTTTTTATCCGGACGCTTGCGGGTCGCACATACTACGCCCTCAGACGATGGACACAGAGTCTTAGACGTGTGTTGTCAGGTTCACATCAAGGGGCAGAGAACAAGGTGGGAGTGTGTGATCCATCTGCGCGTATGATTCAGGCATGTATGGAAGAGTCATGCTCAATGTGTATTTTTGTTGCTTCTTTCCACCAAGATGCTTCCTTAGACAATCTTAATGAGGATGTTCTCAACTCTGCCGCCGCGTGGCAAGCATGGACTATGCGTTCACGTGAAGGTCATGACATTTCTAGGGAAACAGGTTCCCAATCTGTTGCTCGACATGAGGAGAACATCCACGCAGCTCGGTGTGTACTTAAGAAATTTGCTTTGAGTGCGCGCACGTATTTTCCCCAAATCGCAATGTCGTCTCCTCCGACGAAAAGAGGGATGACAAGGGGTCACCTTGCTTTGGATCCTGTTCTTTCAAGTGATTCTTTTGAGGGAATGCCCAGAGGAGACAAAAATTCTCAAGGGGGAGGATTCAAGCCCGTCGGCGCGATCTGTGAATTCCAGGATAATCAAAAGGAATCTCAAAGGATTGTATCACCTTTCAGCGTCAAGGCCACTTGTCCGAACCCTCACACCAACCCTGAAATCATTGTGGAGGGCGTTAGTAGGGGTCTTAATATATTGAATTGTGGAGTAGAGAGGGTGCAATATCGTCCGGAGCAACCGCAGCAGCTTGACGCCATGCAGCACTTTTCATCATTTGCCCCTACTTTGTCATCGCACACGGAGCCTCCTTCTGTTACCAGAAATTGCCAATTCAACCATCCGCTAGACTATCATAGCGAGTTAGCAAACGGTAAGAATAGCAAACTTGACATGGTCGATGCTTTTGCGGAGCCCGCTCTTCCGATTCTTACCCTATCTCAGGAAACTAAGCCATTCGGGGGGGACCCGTCCTTGGATTCCCTGTTGCCGACCCCCGCTCAGCTTACCGCTGAGTCGCAGCGCCCTGTCGGGGGTTGGAGGTCGGCGGAGGGGGCCTTACGGGAGGGGCTCGCAGGGGGTTGGCGGGGAGATCCTCCCCCCTCAGCCCTGCATCCTCATCAGCCGCGGGATGGCTTTTGGATGGATGCCTGGGGGAGGTCCTGGGAGGCGGCGAGGGCTCTCGAGATGAGGTACGTCGAGGCCCTCCACCGCGCTTACGGGGAGGTGGATCAACTCCGCCGGGCGCTCCTCGCGGAGCGGGAGCGAAGTCAATCGTTGGGTGGGCGTGTCTTGCAGCTCGAGGAGCAGCTCCACGCAACCACCCAGCGGCTCTTCTTTTATGAGCAAAGGGAACGCGGGGGGGAACCGAACGGGGATGGGAGCCCCACGCAAGACTCGCCACCTTCGCATGCCAATTCCGGGAAAAGCGACGTCGGTGGGAGGGTTGCCGACAGCCTGACGACTGCCCACGCCACCCGTAGCTTCACTGAGGGAAGCACGTCAGGTAGGCGTCTGAACCCTCGCGAGGCCACAGCTTCCGCTGCTGCCAAACCATCTAGTGCTGAGGCGGCAGAACTTTTGTCAAGTCTCTTGTCCAAGGCTTTACGATTGGGGCAAGATCAAGACCATGTCCGAGACCAGACCGAATCCGTGCGATCTAACGGGGAAAAAACTTTATTCGAGGTCCACGTTACCCCGTGGCCCGACTATCCCTCGCACGGCAACGCCATGCTGGAGGAGGACATTTATCTTTCAGCAATTGCGAAATCTCAAGCCACGAATCTCTCGCATGATATTCCGATTGCTACTGATCAGTCCTACGATGAACCGCTTAAGATGTTTACGAAAGATCGTGGTGCACCGCTGAGATCTTCATCGGCCCCGCATGAGCGAGCTGCCGTACTCCATCATTAGTTTGAGAAAAGGTCATCGGGTCGGAGCACCTTCACCCTTCTTGGACGTTGGTGCAATCTAACAAGTAGTGTTATTGAAATGATTCTAGTGAATATCAACCAGGCGGGCTGGTGGGTTACCGGCTCTTCCCACGTAAAATCAACACAAATCGAGTGAGTGGCATGTAAGATGGTGATATTTTAATGTCGCAGCACGAGTTGCCCAACTCTGAGGAGAAATTGTCGATCTATGCTAAAGGTGTTCTTGTTTCCACTGACGCTTTGATCCCCCTCCTTGGTATGGCAGCACGGCTTCAGAGAGCATTAACACGGTTGAGTAGGTTCCCCTCGCCAACTGACTAATAGCCGTCAACACGAGGAAAGTGGAGGACGATTGTAGGATGCGGTGCAGTCGGGCTTCAGGAAGCATATGGGATGGCAAATGAGCGACTACAGCACGCCACAGAGGCGGAATGGAATTTTTTTGCTTTATTGAGATTGGTATAGATTTGAATATTTTATCTATCTACACATATATCATTAATATTCTGACCCCTTGTAGGTGGCCGTGCACCGCGGTTGGTGTGATGAATCCAATCACCCATCCTATTTTTAAGGGAAATATCAGACACAGTTTTTATATACTGAGCTGCTTTACTTGCTTGCTTATTTAGATATTTGATCTTTGGCTCATCCTGATTAGCTTCAATTCATTTGGGTTATGTACTTTAGTTATTTCTAATTCTAAGAAAAGGAGATAAAAATATAGTGCAGAACATGTTAACTCCAATAGCAGAGGGCAAAGAGGAATTTGCTATCATTCACACTTTGGATGATCTTGGAGGCCGCTTCATTATTGTGTCGGATGTTCACGGCTGCTTTGATCAGCTTATTGCCCTCCTGCAGAAGGTAAATTTCTGCAACACGCGTATACGTGCCATGCCGAATCTTTTGTATCCAAATGGTTTAGATGATGATCGTGTTTACGATCGTGAGGATGTCTGTGTTTGCGTGGGTGATCTTGTTAACAAAGGACCAAAGTCCTTTGATGTCGTCCGTTTCTTTCGAGATATTGGGGCTTATGTCGTACTAGGCAATCATGATATCAAGTTTATGGAGGTTGTAAACGCAATACGAGCCTCCGTTTCTTCCCAGAGGGTTAAATTGCCGGATAAAGTTAGAAATAGTAGTATGTTTGCCCTCGCAAAGCAGTGTCCGGATGACGTCCTAGAATATCTTCAGCAGCTACCCCACATCTTGCGTTTGACAAAATTCAAAATTCTGGTAGTACACGCTGGCCTAGACCCCTCTGTATCACTGTCTAAGCAGCGTACAAGTGCCGTAACTCGGATGCGAAACATCATGGAGCGAGGTCAATATATTAAATTAAAGAATGAATTCAGTCAAATACATCTGCAACAGATTCCGGAATCAAGAAACGCTCCATCCACAAATGACTATGAGGGAGGTACCGTAAAGAAGAACATCTCTTTCCTTGAAGAGCCGTTATCGCTGTCAGGGAGCTACGCAACACTGGAGAACCATCAGTTTGGTAAGTCTTGGGCGTGCGTGTGGGGTGAACATGCCTCTAGTGGACTCAATCCGCAAACGTATGGAGAGAAGATCAATAGAACTTCTGATGCGGTGGCCATTGACAGCGACCTGAACTATCAAGGATGTGATAAGAAGTGCACCAAGCGGGGAATTGAAGTTCAGGAAGATGTGGAATTTCTTCCTGAATATAAGGGCTGGACGGTGGTATTTGGACATGATGCAAAGCGGAAACTGCAGTGTTATCCACTAACTTTTGGTCTTGATACCGGCTGTGTATATGGCGGTAGTCTAACAGCCCTGATTTTGCCTGGTTGCACGCTGCTGTCTGTTCCGGGCTACAAAGCAGAAGGGAAATGAAAAAGGTGCATGATGCAACCATATCGATCTATTTACATGATCATGGAGAAATTTTTAGTATCTTGATATCTCATTAAACCATCTTGTGTAAAGTGTTTTGCTTCCTATTTGTTTTTGGCTACGGCTTTGTGACTATTAAGTAGTGGTATAAGATCTTATTCGATCAATGGACTTCTCTCTTTCCATTTCTTGTGTAAATCTTGGCGATTGTGGTTGAGGGTCCATGCTTTACTATGAATAGTAGATTACATCTTCATTTGACGTTCCCTGGTTCCATTTTACACTCTTCTTAAATTTATAATATTATTTCTATCAGCTGATCTAGCTTTAAATCCTTCAGGCGTTTTTTGTTTTAATGTTTGCACCATAGCAGCTTTTTTGATGACATCCTACTGTGAAGTCTGCCGAGCTCTTTTTGGGGGCCCTCATTGTTGCCATTCATTGACACCTGACGCACCTGAGTGCATGGGGCATCGAGATAACCAAATTCGCCACCGCTTCGAAGATGCACAGTCACCTGCGCGTGGACGTGACCATTATGCAGAGACACCGCATCGATCGGGGGTATCCCTCTCTCGAGGTGCTGTTTCTCCAATTCAGAGGCGCTTGTCTCCTTGTTTAGCACGGGATCCCGGATTCCTGTCGGTTGAAAGAAAGCGAAAATTGCACTTCACGTTAGCAACCCCTTCGGACCATGGGCGCGACACATCGATGCGGCTTTCGTCGAAACCGTGTACCCGTTGTTGGGCATCCTCCCCTCGCTCATCTTCTTGTCCGAAACAACGAAGCCGAAGTGCCGATATGAATGGGGAAAGAGGGTTGATGACATTGGGTGCTCGGCCTCACGCATCCGCCTTTCCTTCGGTAGGCCATTTTAGACCGCGGCGTTCACAGTCCTCGCCGGCATGGCCTGTCACTGGGAAAAGACGGCTCGACAGCTGCAGCCCCAACCCCGACGAGTCATCCCCTCGGAATGAACATGATCACTTGGATCCACCCCGGAAGGTGCTTCGTGAGGCCCGGAGAGCCGAACGCGGCGTCTCGTATTCCACGGAGACCAGTGCGTGCTCTTCATCGATGCGGAGCATTCTGGAGCGCATTCGGCAGATTGTGCACTCGGATGAGAAACGGCACCGGGGTTTAGCGCAAAGCCTACCCGCTGGAGACGGGATTCATCATGAAGGCCTTCCTTCTGCACGGGATTCGGTGGCAAGCGAGGCTGTGGGTTCTCACCGCGAGGCGGCGAATGCGCATCCCAACCCTTCTCTGCGCCTCCATAGGTCTCCTCGGATGGTGTCTACCGCCCTGCAGACGAGTCGAGAGGGCGGGCGGGGTAACAAAGGAGGGGAAAGGGAAGGGGAGGGGCGTCGTGTGGCCTCAGACGGCGGGGAAGCCTCCGCCCCGAGCGGGATGACATCGCGCTCCTGCGGTGATTCCCCGTCGGTGATTTGGGAGTGCGAATCCGATAAGAATCGGCTCCCGGCGAGCACGCAACCACGCCGTGGGGAGCTGCCTCCACGACCTACCCCACGTCCAGCGATCTACCCCAAACCGTTGATGCATTCACCGGGTGATGGAGGGGAGAAAACCCTCCCCAGGGGGGCGATGGCGTCGACAAACACCACCCTTTTGGATTCCTCTCGCTCTGCAAACGATGTGGAGCCTCGGGTTCGGTCTCCTGTCGGGCATGAATGGTGCTGCGAGATGCAGGAAAGGCTGTTAAAAGAGCAGCGACGACAACAGGCGCGGACGGATTCCCTACGGGAGGGCTTAACGGAGCTCTGTGCGGCCGTGCAGGAGGATATGCGGCGTCTTGAGGATCGCCTGCAGGATGCGTTGCGAGGCGTCGCTGACAATGGGAAGGCGCCTCCGCCATCGGGCGGGACGGCGCTTCTTCTTCAGGCCCTTCAAGAGGCCTCGCCGCTCGAAAGGAAGGCCCTTGCGCGGCTTCTCATGCCGGAGCTCAAATCCCTCATACAGGATGAAATCCACACCGCCATCCGTTTCGTTCATCATCATCAGCAACAGCAATCCTTAGAGGAGTTGGAATCTCGGCTACGGGCCTACATAGATCAAAAGACGGCGGCGATGTCGCCCACGTGCGCTCCCGTTCAGCCTCTCCCCTCCTTATTAAAAGAGTTCCCTTCTGTCGAGCAGCTTGACGCGCGTATTCGCGATGTGGTGCGGTCGATTCGGTCTGCAACGGATTCCCCCGTTTTACCTGGCGAGGCGGCCACCACGGCGTCGTTTGCTCAACTCGATCGTCGGGTGCGGGCGCTTGAGGAAGGGCTGCGGGGCCTTTCGGTGGGTCTCGCGAAGACAACGCGGCGGGAGGACGGGGCTTCTTCCTCCTCCTACTCCGAGGAGAGTGAGGAAAGGAGGGCGTGGCGGCGCTTTTCACAACTTCCGTCGTCGTCAGCCGCGTTCTCCCCCGACGGGGTGGATGCGGTTCGGCTGGAGGTAGTGCAGCCCGCGCTCGATCATGTTCGCCGCCTGCTCGTTGCACATCAGAAGTTGTTGGAGGGGATGGTGGAGCAGCGCTGCGTGCGGACGGAGCACGCGATGGAGTCGACCCTGCACGTGTGGGAGCAGGGCGTGGTGGGGCTGCGGTCGAGGCTGAATTCGCTCCGTCGGGATGTTCGCGGGGCCCTGGTGGAGCTTAGCCAGAATTTGAATGTTGCCTGCCCGGGTATTTAGTCCCCTACGCTCCATTTCCGACCTTTTTCCGGAAAAAGGATAGGTATGTGGGTGGGTGGGGGGAATTGCGTTATATATATATATAAATCCGTAGATGCAGTATATTTTCTTTTTTTAAAAAAACTAGATTTAGATTCCCCCGGGATTCGTAGAGGAGCAATGATGAGGAATTAGAGGACTAGTGGGAGTCACATGAAGGAAATGCTCTCTGTTTATTTTTGTAAAGTCCAAGTTTTTATGACTGTGCTTAGCGCTTGTCGCAGCGGTTAGTAAATTCAAGAAAGTGCTTCCTCGAATGCTTCAGTTGGAGGCAGTCATAACCTTGACATACTACATTCTGCTATGAACATTAAGAGCTTTATCGTTATCATTTTTATCCATACTATTTTATTTAGGTGTATAGGCGTAAGTATTTAACCCATACAAGCATTTCGACTCTTGTTAGCAATATTGTCTCGTGCGAACTATTTCCCCTTACCTTCGACTGAAAATATAATGTTGCGCCGTCTCTCTACTGTTGCTGCTGCCAGCTATGCTTGCAGAGCCTCATTGATGGCATTTTCAGAGCCGTTGTCGACGTTGCGTTACTCCGCACGTTTTGCAGGAGGCCTTCAAACTCTTCTACAAGATCGTGATGATAAGTTTTTGGCACTTACGCAGGAATTGAATTTGGTCAAAATAGCGGAGTTGGCTAATCAGGCTCCATTTAATCTGCATCGCGAATTACCCAAACACTGCACGGAATTTCAATCGACTGCCTCCGTTGGCGAGATCCAAAATACGGGCCTAAATGGGGAGAACGGGGAAGAACCCGAGCAAAAGAGATTGCAGGAGCTCTACGAGCGTTTGCCAGCGGAGAAGAAGGAGGCGGTGAGGGTACAACGTCTGATGAACCACCTGCGGGATGCACTATGCTCTGTAAATGCGGTGCTGCGGGTGGAGGTGGGGGATCAGCTGGAGAAGGTGGCTGGTTCCGGTGCGGCCGCCCCGGATTCCCAAAAGGTGACACTTCCCGCCCAAGATCTCGATGCGGGTTTGGGTGTTTTTCACCTTGTCAAGAAGCATCAAGGAATGTTTTCCCCCGAACAATGGGCGGAAGATATGGAGCCGGAGTTAAAGGACTTCGAGGCCTTATTTAAATGGACTGATGATCCGCGGGCAGCCTCTTTTTAGAGCTGTCTCCTTCAAAAAATAATAATTCGTAATATCTTGTTGCGTAAAGTAATATATACATATATATTATTTATTTTTCTACTAATTTTTTAAACACACGATGATGATGTCTCATAATCACTCAAAAGCATTTATATAAAGGGATAAGTACATAAAACTAAGGATGTTCTTTTTTCCTTGCTGTTCCTTGGTGTTTTACTTGAATCCCAGCCGAGAGAAAAAAGTGACTTTTCACCCCTTCCCTAGCTCAATGAATCTTCATAGACATACACACTCATACATACACACACACACACACACGTATAACGAGCAGTCGGAGAAGAACGAGTAGTCCGAGCTAAGACGATCTCTTCTTTTTTCAGCCGCATACAAACCGACATTCATACTCACCTATTATAGAGCATCAAATGCCTCATAGTCCGCATCTCACACCGCTACAACCTCATCCAAGGGAGGACCCTGACGTGAGTGGGGAAACCCCGCTGCCGCAGCGGGGTCCTTCCACGACGGGTTTCTTTTTTCCTCCACGTGGCAACGACCACGAGGCTGAGCCTTTTAACGAGGGGGAGGATGGAAAAGAAAGGGTGAATGGGGGGGATGCGGCCCTCCGCGGGGCCTTTCATTTGGAGGGAGAGGCACGGTTGGGATCAGGGAATGCACCGATGCACAACGGGGCCGTGGAATCTCCCACATTAGGGGGGGTTTGGAAATCGGACGAGATGGGGGTGTTTTCCGCGCCACCCCCGTCTTCCATGGATCCCATGTTTTACGGGGATCTTGATATGGAGGACGATGAGGGGGAGGCCGCGCCGGATCCGATGGGGGCCTCCATTATGGCCGCTATGCTAAACCATCTTCATCACGGAAAACCTGATGCCCACGCTCGTCCTCGCGTCCCTACACGCGCTGTGTTTGAGGTGGGTGAAAAACGATCTCGTGATGAGGCGACTTCATTCCAGAAGCTTTGCGATGAAGAAACAGGACCCGTGGGCGAGGTGGAAGCCCGAAACGATGCTCTTCTTGAAAAGGGATCAAACGTAACCCGTCGGATTCACCCCACACGCGGCGTGTGTGATTATCCGTCGTCGGACTTGCCTAGCTTTATGATGGTGGGGGATTCAGGGGTAACCTGTTGGGTGACTGCCCCTGGGTTGGAAAAGACCTCTCCCCATCACCGTGTTCGTCGAAAGCGGAGGGGTTTTGAGGCTTTGGCGCGCAACGAGGAGGATAACGGGGATAGTTCCTGTGTGAGTGAGGACGAAGAGGCATCGTCGACGATCACTACCACCACGGATGAGGGTGAGGAGGCCCTGAGTGAGATCATGAGTCGACGGCGAACACCATCACTCGGGCTTTTCGGTGGCTCCACCCTTCCTTCCGAGGTTCTTCGTCAGCTGAACGCATCGAAGGCGGTGGAGGAGGAGGATCCACCGGTGGCGGCGTCGTTTGCGTGGGAGGGCAAACCGCTCCGCGCGCATGGTGAGTTGTGGGTGATGAAACACGCCCCCCGGCACTTTCGCGAGGTCCTCAGCGATGAAACGATCAACCTCCGTCTGCTGCGGTGGCTCAAAGGGTGGGATTCGTTCGTCTTTCAGGGTGAGCTCGAAGGGGGAGGGGGGGGGGAAGGCCCGTCGTCGGAGGGCGCCCCCACGCGCGATTTTGAGCGGAAACCAACGCCGCCGGTGGATCGTCTTGCGGTGCTCGTCGGCCCCCCTGGGGTGGGGAAAACCACCCTTGCGCACATTTTAGCCTCCCATTGCGGTTACGAAGTCGTGGAGGTAAACGCGAGTATGGAGCGGACCTACGCGCAGTTGGAGGCGCTCATTCGGATGGCAGTTTCCGCCTCCGGGGCGGCCTCGACGCGTCTTTCACGGCGACGCTCTGTGGTGGGGGAAGGCGGCAACCCCGCCATCCTCGGCTCCATTCCTCCTTCCATCTCGTTGATGGATCAGCTTCTGAAGCCGAAATGTCTCATTATTGACGAGATGGATGGGATGGCGACGAGTGTGGCGCAGTTGCTGCTGAATTTGGATATTCGCCGCCCCGTTTTTTGTCTTTGCAACGATTTCTACGTGGCGTCGCTACGGCCGCTGCGAAAGCGCTGTGCGAATGTCTTTTTCGTTCCCCCGATCGCCCCTCAGCGGCTGCTCTCGCGATTATCGGAGATCGCGTTAAAGGAGGACCTCGCGATTGATCAGAGCGTCCTCGCCGAGATCGCGCGCGCGAGCAACGGCGACGTGCGCAGCTGCCTGAACACGATGCAGCTGCTAAAGTGCATGCCCCCTCCTACGGCTGCTGCGGCCCCGGCGCGGATTTCCACCCTGGAGCGGGTTCACCAAATTCAAGGAAAAGACGCCCAAGTCGATGTGTGGGAAGGGTGGAAGCGGGTTTTTAACAAAGTGGACCGCACCCGGGCGATTCAGCAGCTCAAAGAGTACGGCATCGACTACGCGGCCCTCCTGACGGCTGCGGCGACGAGCCGCCAGGAGGGGATCGCGACGCGCCGCAAACGGAACCGCGAGGGCTTTTCAAACCCCCCTCTCAATGGCCTTTCCAACGCGGAGGATGGGGAAACCCCCACTCCCACCATGGCGGCGTCGCCGTCGTGTCGTTTTGATCCCGGCTATATCCACCTCGCCTGTTTTCTCCGCCAGCGCGCCGGTGGGTTGTTCGGCGGCCGCACCTTCCTCGACGGCCTGCAGGATAATTTCCTCAGCCACCCCTACGGCGACTACGCCCTCGCCCACACCACCGCCGTCGCGGAGGCCTTCGCCACGCAGAACGTCTTGAGCGCGCGGGCGTTCGCGCATAACAGCCCAGGGGGGATCGACTTCGCCGCGCGGTTCGAGCTCGTAACGGCGCTTTGTTGCCACTTCCACTGCGGAGGGGGAAGAGGGGGAGGGGGAGGGTGGCCGCGTTATCCCCGCGAGCAGGCGCAGGCGCAGCAGCTCTGGAGCGCCTCCCGGAGCGCCCTTCAGGCGTTTCGCGAGGGTTGCTCGTCGTTGGAGGTGGCGACGCACCTTTGGTCGACGGAGCCGCTCGCCGCGGAGGTCTGCCCGCTGCTCTTGCGCAGTCTTTTCGATCGTCGTCTTCGTTTATCGTCTTATCCGATGGCGGATTTCAGTACCCTTCCGGCGGTGGATCAGCGGTATTTACAGGCGGCGGTAGAGCGGCATGGGGTGTACGGCTTGAGCTATCGAAAGCAATCGCAGCCGCATTTCTTCTTGGAGACGGGGCCGTTTGGGAATCGCACGGGATTCGCTTCATCGATGACGAATGATGAACCCCACTCGTCGCCGGGCTCCGGAGGAGGAGAAGGGGGAGGGGAGGGGATGCTTCCTGAGGAGACGTGGTGCTTGACGCCTTCCATTGATCACGTCGGCGGGATTCGTCGGCATTTTATTCCTGACCGCAGGCGGGCAAGGGTCCTCATCGGGAATCCCGCAGCCTCCACGACGGCCCCCACGACGTTTTCCACCCCATCTAACACGGCCGAGGCGCGCGCATCGCTGCCCTTTTTCATGACGATGAAGGATGAGCTCAAACAGATGATCGTGGGCGCGATTCAGCGCCATGCGATCGTCGTAAAGGCAAAAGGGCATTTTCCATCCCCACCTTCGTCCTCACTGAGAAGGGGGGCAGCTCAGCCAGTGGGGGTGGGGAAAGTCGCGATCCCCCCTCGCGCGAAGCCTGTCGAGGAGCCCTCCCCTCCCCCCTCTCCTGTGAACAGCGCGGTGAAGGCGTCGATCCCTGGCGGGAAACGCGATTTCTTCGGTCGGATCGTCGGCTCCGGCAGTACGAAAGGGGCCTCAAAAGGTCCGCTCGCCACCCCCTCTCCCCGCTCCGTTCCGCAGAAGCCTCCGGTACGCTACGTCTATCACGACGGCTCCACCAACGCTGTGAAGTTTCCCGCCACTATTCACGATTTCTAGCGCGGGAGGTATGCGATCGTCGTTGTGGCGAGTGTTGGTATTATGGTGGTTATTTTGCCAGCTTCGGCGTGTGTAGGTTTGCTACTTCACAGGAATGATAGTGCACGGCTTAGGTTTCCAACGCACCATCGTTCAAGGACTTTCGGAGACGCAAAATAAAACCGAGAGGATCCAAAGCAGCAACCCAGACAAGAGTATTCACACGACTGTTATGCATGCCTTTTTGCGACTCACCTTGAGAAGCCAGGCTGAGGATTTTGTCTTTTGGAGTTTAGTTTCTGTAAGTCCTTCCCCCCCTTCGCTTTCCTTTCTCAAGTCTCCACTTTTAGCGAAAGAGGACATTTCATCGCACGTGTATGTGCTTTTAGACCATACCAAATACGAAATAGAAAGTTCTATAGAAAAGAGAACACACTAGTATTCCTTTACTCTCGCAATTCATCCATCCATCTATTTTAATACATAGATATAGACTTTCATTTTATAGATTCCATCGACCAAACCCTATTTGAAGAGGCTTGTATACCACAACTGATACACGCACTGCGCATTGTTCAGACTTCCACTCTTCGAGACACGCCCAGATAAGACTAACTAAACGTATCCGTACCCCACCATAGAGGGAAAAAAGTGAACCAATAGATATTAACGTACATCTATATCTATATATAATAGACTTTTACTTGCTTTTTATTTCCTTGTAGACTCTCCTTGGGCAACCATGGATAACTCGCCTCCGTGGTTTAATACCCATCAGGATTATCGGATTTCCCCGTTCGCGCCGAGCGCCAGTGAGGGCCATGCCACCCCTCCCCACACCACCACCTCCTCTTCTTCTCAGCAGCGGGTGTCCTCTTCGGCGATCGTGCAGGATCGTCCCCAGCGCGCGGCTGCTTCCACCTCGGCGACTGTGTCCCCTCACCGACGGGCGTTTTCCGCCTCTCCGACGCAATGCAGCCCGTCGCCGTCCGTTTCGATGGATCCGCCGATGCCGGCGCCCGCCGTTCCCCTCCTTACCCCACCTCGACAGCTTCGTTCCACGCACCGACAGCACTTTTCAAGCGGCAGCGAGGAAGCCAGCGGGGAGGGGCATCCGAATCGTACGAATAGCAGTTTGGAGGCATCCTGTGAGGAGAGCAATTGGGCCTCCCCGGCGGAGGTGCGACAGATCCGTGCCGCGTGCGCGGCCCTCAGTCAATCCTTTAAACAACAACTCCACCGGCTGAACGAAAAGCTGCAGGCGGTGACTGTGGAGCGGGATTCCTACCTCGCGGAGTTGAAACACATCCGGCAGCTCAAAGGCTCCTACCTGGAGGGCAAACGGACCTTTGAAGCCGCCACGGAGGCGAGCAAAAGCTGGATGGAGGAGCGAGCGCTGCTCCACGTGCAGCTCCAAACCCTCGCGGTGGAAAACGAACGCCTGCAGCTGGAGCTGCACAAGCGTCGGAAAGGGCTGCTGTTGCGGGCTCTTCCCTCTGACGTGGTGGGCCTCGGGCAGGAGGGTTCCTTGGGGAAAAAAACAACCAAAACGACCTCTTCCTCGCTCGCTATTGCAAAGCGGGCGAGGAAGAGACGCGGCGGACGGCCCCTTCCCGGCACCTCGGCAACCTCTGCGCGGGATTTTCATTCGCACCCCTTGGCTGCCGAAACCCACGACGACGCGCGGCGCCTCGACCACACCCTTCCTCTTACTCAGGACAGTCTAGACGACGCGGAGCCGCCGGGCGGGGA